ATACTCAGATATACACTAAAAGCAGCATTTGAGATTAAAGAAATGTTAGAATAATTAATTCAGACTCTTTCTTTTCTAGTGGAAGCCTCTTCTGTATCCTCTTTTGTAGCCTCCTCACTGTCACCAGGATAAAATTCTCTGTTTGGCTCTTAATCTTACTCATTGTTACCTCTACAAATGTACTTGGTATTTTATGATATTTTAGACTGCTCTGTACCTTGATTTTGGTACAATGTGATCCCTGGAATAATTCATATCTTTAACTGGTGAAAATCTTCTCATTCTTTAGGACTAAGCTCATTATTTTTTCTGAGATACTTTGACCTCAATGCAGATTATTAAACATTTTCTCTGAGATATAGCTGTATAATTTAACTTGTAGTATTTATCTCCCAGTTATAACTATTTCATTATCTATCTCATGCCTCGTATTAAGTATGAACTCCTCACAACCATAGATTTTATTTATTTTGGAATGCCCATCTAAGATCTCTGACATAATAGCAGTGGCACAAAAGGTGGCTGAATTTTAAAACTGGGCTCCTTAAGGGTGATCAGTTGCATTACTAGGACCCTAGGACTTTTCTTAGGTAAATACTCTGTGACTGCAACATTTAACATTTCTAGGTAAGGAACCAACAGTCAACCTGGGAGGCAAGCACCTGCGCAAAATAAATGATGCAAGTTACTGAACCTTATTTGATGTCAGAAGCTCATTTCTCCACATTTTCACTCAGGAATGAAAAATAAGTAATCTATAAATAATGAAATTTCAGTGAATCCACATAAATAGATGTTATACTGTTTATAGTTCTAGCTAGTAATAAAAAGAATTAACAGCTTGTATTTTTTCTATAAGCTTTTTTTATCTTTAAGAAGGCTAAGTCTCTAAGTGTCTTCCAGAGTGTGATTCCTAGACCCGCAGCTTTAGCATCACCAAGATACTTATCTAATTCTTGAACCGCACCCCAACACAGACTCAGACATACTAAATTAACAACTCTCAGAATTAAGCCTAACACTTTTAATTATTTTAAAAGATTCTTGTAATGCATGCTAAAGTTTTGGAACAAATGCTATAACATCAATACTCTTTACTGGTCTCTAATGACATTTTTATGGTATCTTTAACATACCTTTCATGTTTTATTGGACCATAATTATGGCTTCTCCTTTTCATCTATTCTGAACTCCAAGATTTTGAATATTTTCCTTCCAGCTATTCATCAGTCCATCCATTCATTCCATCCAGTATCTGTAGAGCATACACCATATGCTCAGTACTGTTCTACGTGCTTTGTCCAACAAGATTTTTCTGGGATAGAAACCATTATTCATTATTACAAGTTCATTTCTTGTTGTACAAAATGCCTTTGATTGTATTGACTTGTAACCAAAAGTTGAAAGTATAGACTATATGTGTATATATATATATATGTATATGTATATGTATTTATATACATATACATATATATATGTCATCAACTTTAAAGTGTATAAATAGCAAATGACCAATATTTTATTATTTTATGAACTTTTTATCCTTCTTACTGTTCAGACTTTTTCCCCATATATATCACTTTATATTTATTTCATCTGATAACTATTTATTGAAATCTGGGTTATTGTCTGTATATAGAATACTATTTGCTTGGTCTTTGTTTATCAAGTTCCTTGACAAATTTTGCCATCTCTAAGAATACTAACCAACATACTATGTATTTTTACCATTTGAGCTCTTTATAGACTCTTATCAGGGTGATGATTAGTCGTAAGCTGCTTTCTGAATTTTATTTATTGCAAGCCACTGAGGTGATACTTTATGACAGCTTTGAGACTTATATTTTGTACTGGAACCAAGGCAGTTGCAAATCTATGTCTGATAACAACATAGTACTTTATTACAGATAATTAAAAGCTTGGTTTATAAATTTAGAAATACACATCATGATGTTAATACTTGGTAGACCTCCTATTACTTACCTGTCAGAGAGTTGGGTAGCGATATGTGTTAAAGTTCAGACTTCATTTGTATAAGTTTATTGTCTTAGAATCATTCTGTAAACTAAACAAAATGTGTTTGGAGTATATTACTACCCAGTAGGCAGTAAAGTTGGTGGTAGTGAACAATGACAAAAGGACAGTTATGAGATTTGTGAAATAGTAATTAGCACATGAAGATCAAAAATAAGGTAATAAATAAATCCAGCAAATAAACAAAATTCAACATATAGGAAATTAGTATGAAAGGACAGAAGCATCTGTAGGATTTAGACTGACAGATGTATTTGCAGATGCCTGAGCTACTTGCAGAATATTTCTGCTAACATGTTTATGTATGTGGTTCCTCTAAGATGTTAATGTCAAAAAAAAGTGTTTAAAGTAACAGCAGGAATTAGACTTGGAGAGAAATTTTATGAAAAATTAATTATGTTCAAATTGGCTACATTTTTATGCAAAGTTAATGGAAGATACATGCTGACTATATCAAAGCAGTAGCATTGAGATTTGACCAAGGCTGTATGAAAAATTTAAACATACTGGTATTATTATGAAATGTTTTAATTGCTACTTGTAAACTGAGTAAGTAAGATGTGGATAATGATAATCATGTCTTTTTTTTTTTTTTTTTTTTTTTTGTCTTTTTCCTTTTTATCGGTACCGGGGATTGAACTCAGGACTGCCTGCTTGCAAGGCAGGCGCTTATGCCACTGAGCTAAATCCCCAGCCCCCGATAATCATGTCTTAAAACACTTTTAATAACCTAGAATCTATATCATTTCAAAATTACCCAGGGTTAAAGAAGTGATTTCAAACATAAAATTTGTCAAGATGTCATAAATATTGATAGAAAACACAAGGTAGAACCATTTTAGCAAAGTCATTAGGAGGCAGATCTTTGCTATGGTAAATAGAGGTACATTTTTCAAACTTTTTATTATAAACATATCAATACTAGCAGGAGGATTGTTTAAGGTTTGTACATCCTAAATGATAATAATAATAAAGTGAATACCTAACTACTTACTGTCATGCTTAAAAATAAAAAATATCCAATTCTTTTTAAGCCATGTATACTGATTCTTATCTTTCCACCGATGCTACTGTGACTTTTCTGTTACCTTTTTAAATTTTTCTTTGTAGTTATACTGTACTTGTATCCATCCTTAGGCAATAGATTATGTAGTTGTCCTTCTTCTAAGCTTTATATACATGTAATTATAACTATGTAATGTTCACAAATTGCTTTTTCTACTCCATTGGCTTTTCAGATAAAACATGTAGCTCCACGCCATTAACTTTTCCTCCTGGAATGTACATGTGTATTTACATTGTTTGCAATTCCTAGCTATTACAGTGTTATTTTATGAACATGTCTGTATATACATGATGTTACACATGTGTAAGGATTTTGCTGGGAATGGGGCTAAATTACATAGTCACCCTTACTGAGCACCAGACTGTCCAAAGTGATATATGCTGCATCCTCACTGACATTGTCAGGCTCTGAGGATGTTCACATAGGCACTCTGTGGCTTTTTATGTAGCCATTTTTATTGTGTGCATGTATCAGATTCATATCAATCCAAGTAAATTATCTTCATAGATACATAGCTCTAAGAGTTCATATTTTACAGCTGATAATAGAAGTAATGTCATAGGATTGATAAGCAGGGAAAATATATTACTTACATGAAGTAAGATTCTTCTAAGTATATGTCACACTTAGTCACAGGAATATAGACTTATGTGTCACAAATTTCTAGCAGACTTGAGAGATCTAATTTGTAACAAGGCTTCATTTACTGAAATAGGTATATATTTTAAAATGTAGTAAAAAAATATATGTATAGATTAGGGCCAGGGATTTAGCTAGTGGCTCAAGCACTTGCCTGGTAAGTACAAGGTCAGGAGTGCAGTTCCCTGGTACAAAACATACAGTTTTTTTATTTAAAAAAAAGTGTTTATAAAAAATAAGTTCAATCTGTGAAGAAATCAACATTTATCTCTAGAAAAATGATATATTAGGCCCAGAAATTAATGTTAATGATAGTAAAATTATAACTTGGATATGTTCAAAAATGTGTTATCAATCCTTCAGAAAGTGTTGCCTTTACTTTTTTTATTACCATTATACCTAGCCTAGTCCTGATCTATGTCATTAAATACATGCTTGTTGTGCTTTATTTTATTTCTAAATTTTCAAATCTATAGTGCATCTCTATCCAAATTCCAGCTGTTCTATGTCATTTCATTTTTCCTAAATGGTACATATTCAGCCTCATTTTCTATCCCACAGTGCAGACAAAAAGAGCATAGTATAATAGAAAAGGCTTTAGGTCCACAGACAGATAAGATTCCCTTTCCCATTCTGTCACTAATTCAGTAGTCAAAAGCAAGTCATTTAACTTCACTGTGTCTTAATTTTCACATCTACCCACTTCAAAGGTTGGTTGACTAAATAAGTGTATTGATTAACTAAATAAATGTAAAGTGCCTAATTCAGTGCCTTATATTTAATAACCTATGTTTCAGATAAGTTCTGTACTATGCACTGTACACATTTTCTATTTAATTTTGAAAACAATCTTACAAGAATATAATTGAGGAAGCTGCAATTCCAGACAATTAAACATATTGCCCAACATTCTGCGGCTGAAAAAGGGTTCAGTTCCAGGTATACTGAAGTTAGAGGCTATGTGTTCTCATGCTGGCCAGAGCAGACCATTTGTGCCCGTTTTCACCATGTTGTACATGTCTCTGTTCTCTGAATTTCATTTTAGCTCCAACTCAGAATTTCCATTTTATCATTCTATAATTGATTCACATCATAGTTCTACTTTCCCTAACAGAAGGCACAAACTGGTTATATTGTATTTCTCAGAGCTCTAACAGAGACTCGAAGACCCATAAAGTACTAAATAAATATGTGATTTAGGTAGTGCTACTTGTAATTTATTTTCACCATTGCTTTAAACTTTTCGTGTCCTTTTTTATAGCTCATATCAGCGGCCACATGGCAACCTCCATTTGGATGATGGTGAATACTGGTCCAACAGGGCGTCCTCCTATAAAGGAAAATCCCACCGACCCATCTTTGAGAACAGCATGGACAAGATGTATAGGAACTTATACAAAAAGGCCTGTGGCTCTGTTTCGCACACACAGGAAACCTTCTGAGACTATCCACGATAAACTCTATGAGTGTCCATGTCACCCTCTCAATGAAAATGTTTGATGTGATCAATATCTGCACTCCTTTTTTAAAAATAAGTGGTTCTTTAAGTAGTGAGACTTGAATCATTTCTTACTGCAAAATGATGAATTATTATTATTATGTCTTTATTACAGAAGAATGTGCTGTGTTTCAAATATCAAAGCTCCACAGTACAATCACAACTTCTGATCTGTGACAAGGGTGTCCCCTCACATGTATCTCACACCGCCATCTACAAACTAAAGAACAGATTCTCTAGAAAAGCTCTCCTGTTTTAATTACTTTGTAATTATCTTTTCAACTGCTTGACTGATTATCTTATGTGGATAAGGTATAATTAATATTAATTCCCTTTTCTTGATAATCAGGAAAAAATCTATTGAGAAATGAATTTCCTAGGAGTTTAAACCATTTTAATTGTGTTTTCTAGTTTTCTGTCCCTCAGAAAAGGCTATTTGTATTTCTTAGCTCATAATAAATAGCTTTCTTATTAAATGTTTCACTTTGAATATAATGCAGGCATTCACTCCTCAGGAAGAACTGCTTCAGTTACCTAAATACATAACTGTTAACTAGAAATAACTGTTAACTGTTAACTGTGAATCCAAAATGTGAATGCCTTTTTCTTTTTTTAGAATTCTTTGTATGATTTTCTTTTATGGCCATGCCTTTTTGTACTATACAATGAAAATAGCTTTTGTTAGTAAGTGTATAGAAATTGAAAAAAGAAAAAAAAAGGGCATTACATTATAATTTAACCTTTTTGACATTATCATAGGTATCATAATGCCCAAGAAAGTCGAAACCTCACTTTGAATAACATAATACAGTGGAGTGCTTTTTAGTAGGCATTTGAAAATCTGTTGGTAGTATGACAAAATTAGTTTTTTGTTCCTCTGAAGACAGTGATACTTAAGGTCTAAAGAAATCAGTTACCATGTTTACCAGAGGGTGAGAAGAGAAAACCAGAAATAAATGTAGTTTGCTTTTAAGATTGAAGAGCTGACTACAAGATAGTATTTTATTGGTTGATTCTACAGTTATAAGTTAGAAAGAAAACAATTGACTTGCACTTCATTTAAATTGAAATTAAAATGTAAAATTGGTTACATTGTTGGGAAAAATATATTTGTTATCCAATGATAGACCATGTAAATATCGTATTAAGAATGTTTTTTGAGTTGTTGGTAGGATGACAGCAATGAAAAGGGATGCCATAAATGTGGGCAGCCAGGGAGAGTCTGGCGTGTTAGGGCGAAGTATAATACAGCACGTTAGAGGCTTTAAGAAATCATGGTGTCAACCCATGCTGGTATCCAATAAAGAGTCTGGCACATAATTGATAGCCACCACTCTTTGTTCTCCCAGCTGCCCATTTCTTCAACTCAGAATGCCGTTCTCAGGTACATGTGGACCCTGACTGTCAAAATGCAGGACCGTATGGCCACTGAGTTACCCTCTGGCTGAGGGTTATGTGATGATATTCTGCACAGTAAGCTTGTAAAGGTTATTATTGAGCATAGTAAGCATATTCTCAATGAAAATTAATGTGTTTTTCTGTGGGAAAAAATTTTTAAAAGTCCTCCATTTAAAAGTTGCCACTGATGAAACAAGTGACTATGTTCATCCCAGAAAATATTCTATTACAAAAAGTCTCCTAAGTAATTAAGCACCACAGAAATTACTTGTTGTATGTATATCTGCTATTACCTATGGAAACAGCCATGAAAAGTAAGACAAAGAGAGAGAGAGAGAGCGCTTTGTAAACTAATACTGTGAAAGACATCTTTTTCTATAAGTTAAATTTAGCATCCTTGTGAAGGATGGGGCAGATTCCCAGGTATCTGGCATCTCTGCTGTGTGTGTGATCATCTTCCCTAATAGGGGAAGGATTGATTGTTATTGTTCAGTCACTTTGAATTCTTATGTTGTATCGTTTTGAAAGAGTAAACCTTTAAGTACTAATGATTGTATTTTCTCATTCATAGAAGCAATTGTTTATTCTCTTATATATTTTTTTCTATATTTGTCATAGGCCTGATAATAACCATTGGACTTTGTAAGAAAGATAGTTCTTTTTCATCTTTCAATATATTTTTCTTTATATAAACAAACAGAAATTTTAGTAAAGGAAAATGTTAAATTTAACAAAGAAATAAGGGTGTTATTCCTTATTTACATAAGGTTACATAAGGAAGATCAGTCCTTCTGTAACCTTATGTCCCTTATTCCTCTTGAAATTTACTTTTTTCACATAAAAGAAGATAAAGGGGATAATTTGAAATGATATTTTAACATTCCAACATTTTTACAATTGTGTAATTAATGCAGATGATCAAGCAATCTTGGGTAAATAATTGTGATCTGATTTCAGAGATTAAGCTCCTGATTAAGAATTAGGTGCGTGGGCTGGGGATTTGGCTCAGCGGCACAAGCGCCTACCTTGCAAGTGCGCAGTCATGAGTTCAATCCCTGGTACCGATTAAAAAAAAAAAAAAAAGAATTAGGTGCAGATGGAGAATTTTCATCATTTATTTACTAACAATAGCTGTATTGAGATAGAATTAATTTTATTAAAATATATAATTAACTGATTTTTGCTGTATTCTGTGTTTTATAACCATAACCACTAAATAATTACAGAATATTTATCACCCTAAATAAATTCTGAACCTAATAGCAATCAGTTCCCATTTTCTATTCCCTCAGCTCCTGGAAAGTACTAAACTACTTTCTTCTCTATTCTGGACATTTCATGTAAATGGAATCATATGTGACCAGCCATGTCTGTCTGCTTTCATTTAGCATAATTGATATTTCGGGATTTGTCTACCTTGTAATGTACTAAATGCCTTTTTTAAATTACTAAATAACCATTTTATGAACATACTACATCTTGTTTGTCCAATCAGTTTATAGACATTTGAGTTGTTTGTTTCTACTTTGGGGGCTTTATTAAATGTTGATCAGAAGTTTCATGTATTTTTGTGTAGAAATAACAGTTCTATTTCTTGTGAGCACTCACCTAGGAGTTGAATTGTTGTGTTATGTGAACACAAGTGCCACGGTCCATGGTGGCCTACTCTTCTGAGGACCATGTCAGTCTTTGCCACTGAGGACCTCAGAATCTCCAAGTTCTGTCACAGATCTCACATGAATTTTGCTATAGGTGGTCCCACCTTCATAGATCTGAGGTGCCTGACTGGAGCTACTTCAACTAGTGCCACTGTGGCACCAGTTTCTAGTATAATTGGTAAAAGCATGCTTGACACAGACACTGACCCAGTGTCCATTTCCAGATTTAGCCATCTCCTGGCCTATAAAAATGTTTCATGGCTACATGCATGCATACAGCTGCTCAGGCAGCTGCTATAGTGTGTGTGAGTACTGCTTCATCATTGAATGTGCGTGTGCACCACGCTCTCACACTGCACATAAGCCTATTGCTGGCTGTTTGTATACTGCTATATGCACCTCTGCACACATGCGTGCTCCCTGCCACTACTTATCATCACATGGGCCCATTGGCCTCGGCTGTTACCACTGCAAGTGCACTCACCATCCTCCATGCCTTGCGTATGTTCACAGATACCTCTGCCTCCACTGTTGGCCACCACGTGAGCTCATGTCACCAGCCCTGCCCTTACCTACTCATAAGGACTCATCACTGGACCCAGAGGCCCCCCCCCGCCCATGACCATCAATCCTCATAGATGTTACAGAACCTCCACATCATTGGCTGCCGAGGTCCACACAGTTACCAATGTTGTGGACTCCACATGCCTAAATTCTGCTGTGAAACTGCTCTTCTCTTTCTGATGTGGAGCTGTGGGATGCCCCCCTTCATTTGGCTAGCTAGATACAGTGCCACTTCATGCTTCTGCCTTTCCTGGCAGTGAAGATCATTTTTTACCAGAGATAAGTCTGGTAAGTCTGCTTCACCAAATGTATAGATACCAGTGCAAGGATACAATGAATAAGAATATCGGGAAACCAGGGTATCATCAAAAAAAAAGTAAAGTTGCAGTGATTTACTCCAAAGAAATGGAATGAACCATTTCTCAATTCAGAATACTACTATAAAGAAACTTTATATACTACAAGAAACTTAGTGAGATACAAGACTAAACAAAGAATGTAACAAAATGAGTAAAATAAGCTCAACAAAGAAAAAATTCTTGAGCTGAAAAATAGGAACTGAAGAACAGCAGAGAGCTTCAGTATAATGAAAGAATCAGTGTACTCAAAGATAGGTCCTTTGAAATTTTCTAATTGTAGGGGGAAAGGAATAGAAAATATTGAAGCAGTTATACAGGATTTCTGGGAAATATATGCATTGTGGGAGTTGCAGAAAGAAGATACAGAGGAGCAGAATGCTTATTTAAATAAATAACTGAAAACTTTCCAAATTTGTGATGTATACATCTAAACCCAAGATGTACTTCCCAAGATACAGAGAAAATCCAAACCTGATTGAACATGAAGCCTACACTAAGACACATCATGACTGAACTGCCAAAAGTGAAAGACATAGCATTTTGACATCAGTGAGAAATGCAGCTTGTCACATACAGGTAAACCAGACTATCTGGATTTCTCAGCAGAAGCCTGGGAGCCCAGGAAGTGCAACCAAAGTACTAAAAGAATCGACAGCTCTTTTAATAATACGCTATCTTACAAAGCTACTCTTTAAAATGGAGAGAAGAATAAGTGGTTTTCTGAAATAAAAGAGTTGTTCATACCAATACACTACCCTGTGTAAGGGAGTTCTTCAAATGTAATAACAAACATATACTATAAGTAATAACATAGCATGTGAAAGTATATCTCACAGATGAAGGTACAGAGTCAAATTTAGTATAATTAATATTGCGGTGGTAGTTTGTAAGTTACCTGTAACACTAACATAAAAGTTAGACAAAAATGTTAGGGCTGTACCCACAAAAACTCACTAATAGATTCCTATACAAAATAATACATTCTGACCCAGGAAAATGATGTACGGGAATGTACAAGGAGATAAGACTTTCAGGTTTTTGTATATAATTGAAATTTAATTATTAGTAAAAATAGATGGCTTTAACTACTAAAAAATTCAAACAAGCCTCATGGTAACCATAGGGGAATTTGAGGCAGACGGAAAGTTAAAGGGTCTCAGTGAGGTTTCTGGCAAATAAAGTGTTACACCTCTGGTAGAGAGGGTCACCTCAGGTAGAGCTGATAAGGCCTGGCTTATTTCATGCCAAAGTTCAGTACTCTCTTTCATCCACGTCCAGTTAAACACAAAAAGGAACAAAGCCGGGAGGGGACATTATTATAAAAGAACAGTAGGTAAAATATACACTAACACCTCGACACACACACATATATATATATAAATACATATTTTCTTACATTAAGACACTAAAACATATGAGTTTCTTTATTAACTTGGTTTTTGTTTTTTGTGTGCGTGTGTGTTTTTGTACCTGGGGATCAAACTCCTGATCACACTTGCAAGGCAGGCACCTATTATTACCTTGTTCTTGAATGTCAGGCTCTGCTGTTAACCTACAAGATAAACACTAGACAGGACAAAGGGGCCACATACATGTAGAAATGTACATAGTTTGTGCAGCATGGCTGCACAGAGGAGCTACATTGGGGTTACTCAGACAAAATCAATTAAAAATACAGGTAACTGGATGAAAGAGTGGGATATACACCCTGATGCCAAAATTAGTCTGAAACAAGAGATTTGCAGATCAAACAAAACATAGGCGTAGGCCTTTACAGTGAGGCAGCCCACAGTGCTGCCACAGGCAAGGCCCCTCGCCTATTCTGCCTTCTGCTAACAGGACACTGATATTGCAGCCTGGGAACAGATATCACCTGTATATTCAGGAGTGAGTGACCAGGAGTCTGCTCTTTCTCCAGTGGGCTGATAGTTGCTTTTTGTTTTGTTTTCCTTAATTTGTTGTGCATCTCGGCAGCTAACTGGAATCTCTAGCAACAGTAAAGTCAGGGACCACAGTGGCTGCCACAAAGGGAATGAGTAGAACAGCACGATCTTTCTTGCCCTGTTCCAGCAATGTGAGAGAGGAGGATGTGGGATTTAAACAACCTTAAGCCATGGCGGGGCAATGAGTGGGAAGTCAGCACTCCCCCAACCCTGCTCCCTCCTATTTTGGGAGCAGTGAGTTGGCCAACAACACTCCCTATGCCCTGCTCCCAGCTGCATGACAAGAGAGACTTGGCAGCAAGATGGAGCAGGAGGACACAATTGTGTGACACTGGGAACAACCTCAGCCTGTGTTTGAGCCCCAGCAGCTGAGAGAGAGCTTCAGAGATAAACAAGGAGAGCTGCAAAGCTGAGCTGCAGAGGGACGCACAGAAAGTTGCTTATTTTTTTTCTACATTTTCTTTAAAAAAAAAAATTTATAATATAGCAACTTGCTTTTTGTTTGTTACTTGCTAATCAAGATTTAAAAGTCTCATGTGATTGGCCAACTCTTAAACCTTACTGCAAGGGATGATAAATACAGTGTTATTATTGCAATTGTTTGCCATTGTGCTGGGCACCTTATAGTCCAGTGGAATTGTAATCTCATCTATGATACATAAATTTCTTAGTTCCTAAGTGAGCCTTAAAAATTATTTTCTTGCTAGATGTTTTACCTTTTCTCATTCACTATGAGATGAACAATTATCTTCTGGCATTCAAATTATCCCACTCTTATCTAGAAGCTTGTTAATTTAAGTAATAATCACTATAAATTACTGTAGTATAAATTACATAGAGTATAAATTACATAGTATAAATTACTATGTGACTAAGCAAATTAGTGAAACAGTCTTTTATGAAAAAAACAAATCATGGTATGGTACAGTTCACTACATTTAAATTGGGCTAAATCACAAGTGAACTACATTAGAATGTTTTCTAATTTGTATGGTATTTGATTGTTTACAGGTTTGAGGAGAATGAAAATATATTTATTTTACTTCCTATCCCAACTTGTATAGTTCTAAAACTTTATGCACCAAGAGAATTAAATTAATCTTTACAAAGGGCTACTATCAGTATTTGGTGATTTACATACATTGATTTTCCCAGCATGTCTATGAGCTATAGTAGGTATATGTAGTGCGATTGAAAGATACTGTGAATGTTTACATTTTAAAAAATGTATTATGGTAAAAGACACCTTGTCATTAATCCTCTTACCTGAACAAACATCCCAGCACCCTTGCCACTTTCTGAAATTGCTCTGAGAGTCCTTTTGTGTGACGGTTGTTAGTTGCCTTTTTTTTTCTTTTTCCTTTTTATCGGTACCAGGGATCAAACTCACAACTGCCTGCTTGCAAGGCAGGCCATTATGCCTCTGAGCTAAATCCCCAGCTCCTTAGTTGTCTATTGTAGCTGCCTCTAAACTGATTCAAAATGTTTACCTTTCATCATTTTGACAATATAGAAGAGCTGGAGGTTGAGCAGTGCTAGATCTAGTGAATAACATGGATGATGACACACTGTGATGTTTTTAGAATCTACCTTGCTACTGAATGACAGTGTCTGCATTAACTGTATAGTATTTTTTAATCACATCTCATAAAGATAGGGGAGAAGACTTTCAGAACTGCTTCAGGAAACAGCAAGAATGATGAAATTAGTGTATTTGAAATCAGGGATACAATTTTGAGGGGGGTTAGTGGAAATGTATCTCATACTAAGTTTAAATTTAAATATTCACAGTATATTTTGATCATTCTGGATAAGTAGTCTGGTTTTACTATTACTTTTTTTTTTTTTTTCTTTTTTGGTACCAGGGACTGAACTCAAGACCTTGTACTTGCCAGGCAGGTATTTATGACGCTGAGCTAAACCTCCCCACCTCCTGCCCTTTTTAAATTATTAAAGAGAATAAAACCCAGGAAAATAAAACAATAAAAGCAATCAAAACAAACCAGTGTAAGTGATACAGGATTTCCAAACCTTACAAAATCAACAATAGTTACGATAATGCCTCTTCCTGTCTTTAAAACAGCTGCAGATACCTTCGGACATAGTAAAAATCAAACAGAACAGAATAGAAACAATAAAAACAAAATAATAAATGCAAAAAAAGGACTTCAAAACAATCAACATAATATATATTGCTATCCTTTAAATAGCTGCTCCTGCCATCAGATTTAACATAAAGAGAATAAGCCTAAAACAAACAGCAATGAAAATGATGTGGTTTCCAGGTAAGGGTCACTTCCTGGTGAAGCCTGGTTCTCTCTCTTTCTGCATTTTGCAAATGGCAGACTCGGGGAGAGAGACTTGGGTCTGGTTGTCCTGACTCTGGCAGTGGCCCATGCATGGCTCTGGTTTCCAGGCTGGGATCACCTCCTGGTGAGGCCTGGTTCTTGCTCCCCACAGTCCACAAATCAATAATCTATTTTATAGACTAGGACACTGATGACCAAACCACTGTGACTGGTCAGTGAAAAAACATCTAACTGGTAACGCTTGGAATTGATTCTAAACCCATCTGCCTCTCAACTAAATAAGTGGTTAAAAATCTCACTTTGTTACAACTTATGTATTCAAATGATGTAGCTAGTAGTACATCTTCAGAAAAACCTCAGTGAATTAAAATGAAAAATGAACTAACATTAATTCATTAAAATTCAGAACAAATTTCCAACCCCTAAATATTAAAAATGAACAAAGCCAAGAATGGACAACTATATGAAATAAATGTCTTGAAGATTTATTGTAACTGACCCAAGATTTCATGGAAATAGTACCAAAAAAGGACAGTGTACTTCCCGATGCAGTAAAAATTTAAACAAATTTACCTTTTTGAGTTTATGATATAGTTCAGAAAGATGAAAGAAATCTTTAAGAAAAGACAATGTCCTGGAACATACGTAGTAAAATAGAATTGTTAGAGGCTTCATGAAACTAATTCCTCATTAATTTGTTGGAGCTTTTATTAAGTAGAATAGTGGTATATGAAAACAAAGGTTTTGAAAATGTTTGTGCTCCTGTTGTTTTTCACCTAGTACCTATGTGTATTTCTATTACTAGATAACCTAGTTTATTTTCTTATGGCTGAGACAAAATACATCACCCCCCAAGTTAAGGGAAGAGTATATAGAGGTTTCTGTTCCCACACGGTAGAGGGGCCAGAGTTCATGGCAGTGAAAGACAGCAAAAGCAAGCGGGGGACGAGAATGAGAGGGAGACAAGCCTCTTTCTGTCCCTTGTATTGTATACAAGCTACCTGCCTTATGACAGGTGTAGCACTCACGTAATCCCAGCTTTGGACCATGAATCAATCACAAACTCTAGAAACCTGCCTCCATGACTGCATGAGGCTTTGGGAGCGGGGACATCTAGGCACAAACCATAACATCAGAGGTGAACTGCAATGTTGCATAGCAGAAAAACCACTTCCAACGTTTCTGACCTTCCCTTTTGTCTTCCAATGAAATAAGACAATAACATTAATCTGCCGTCTTCAGCAAAATATTATGATTAGATGGGAGAACATGTGGGTATTCTCCGACAAATACTAGACACTATCAGGATAACTTGCTTTCATGAGTGATCCAGGGAAAGGAAGTTGTAGTTTGTGAAGAGCTCCAATTGGCCTAAGAGCAATATGTTGTATACACTCCAGATTTCCTCCCCTGAGTTTGTCACCTCTGTGTTATCAACCTTTATAAATAGGTTTCTCCCTAATAAAATGGAAGATATTTTCATAAAGTTGTTGTGATTATTTAAAACCCATGGAGACAGTGTTATGATTAAATTAGTTAACAATTAAGTATTTAAAACAATACCCAAAACATGGTAAAAACTATAAATGATATTTATCATTGTTTTTGTATTTTGCAGACAATCTATTGAACTCATAAGATATTTACTTTCTGAAACAGTATAGCTTATTTTTCTCTTACTAATATAGTTTTTTAAAAGTTTATTAGTACATATTTGCAATTCATAGAGTTTAAAATCATCGTGAGGAGTGATTCCATATACATATTACAGCTTTTTTTCTCTTACGTTTATTAATTCTGTTTTTAATAAAAAGTGCTGTTGTAAGGTAATCTACTACTTAACAAAGACATGTTAAATATACTTTGAATTTTCCTAAAGGATAGAAAATTTTATGCTGTATTATTCCCTTTTATAGCTAAGCAGTGGTTGTCATATTGTTCCTAAACTGTGTTGTGCAATGAATGTGTTTTTGGCATAGAGGCTGCAAAATCTGGAGAAGTTTTTATTGATAATCCTAAGCAAAACAGTCAAAATTATTTCAGGTCCCCTGCAAGACAGAGGAAAATTGTTTTTTGGTGATTGCAACATTTTTTTCATATGCACGAAAAAAGGTAGACCGTTGTCACTGTGTGCACTCAAAAGCATTGTCATTACACTTTCATCTACTAGATGGAGAAATATTATCATTTGTTATTTCCATAAAACCGATGGGTTTTAAATAAATTTCTCCTACCTTGCATGAATTTATATAGATAAGCGTCACCATTTCTTATACATCAAAGTTTTATTTTTAAAAAGTTCTTATGAATTTAGAATGATTATTGTTTTTACAGCTATTTTTCTAGATAAATATTTCAATTTTAATTGGATTTTCAAATGTTATTTTCTGATTTTAAAAAGCAATACTGCATAAAATATACAAGATTTAGAAAAGTAAATATATAAAAGTAAGAGTGCTGAGATACATAGTGATATATTTTTATGCTCTACTACAAAATTAGGTTTTATTTTATGAAGTATGTATCCTATGATTTAAATGTACATATCATTTCATTTTTCTAAAATAGAACATAAATGCACTTCCTGATTAGAATTGACTACATAAAGTCATCTAACCACTTCTCCATTGTTAAATATTTAGTTGGTTTCCTAACTGTGCATGCCTATGAAATATTTAAACTGGAGAAAAACATGTCTGCACCACTGGTAAGTTGCATCATCTAGTCTGCAATGTACACACAGAAAATAGACGACAAAAGAGTGGCTCTCCCTTCCCTGTTTGTTTGTCCCAGAGCCCTCCTTTGTTTATACGCAGTTCAGCCTTAATGCCATTTTCAGAAGCTTTATTTGCCTCACTTTTTTGGGTTTGAATAAAACTTAAATATAAAATCCATCTGTGAAGCATATTGTACATTCACATGGAAGGCTAAAAACTTATTTTTAATTAAAACTTTATTCGGCACTCATGGTTCACTTGGTCCTGCTTTTATTATGAAACACTTCAGTCATCATCCTAAACACATATGTCTTGAACATTTCAAGATGCTCCTTGTTGTTCGTGCAGAGCTAGTTTCTTCGGGCTGTCAGCTCACTCACGGCCATATGCTCCAACTGTTCATTTTGCTTTCCTTTCTGGCATTTATAGAACCGACATCTTGTATAGAATGCAAGTCAGTTTTATTTCTTCCCTTTTATGAAGCTTGTCAGGAGGTAGAATCTCAAACTGGGAACACTGAATACTACACTGGCAGGTTAGTCATGCATGATTATGAAGGATGTGCCATCCTTAAATTCTTAATGTGTGTAAAGTGTGACAATAAACATATAGGTGACAGCTGAATTCTTACTACAATGAAGATAATACTGGTGGTATTGGAAGCGACATGTATGTACAAATTGCAACCTTATAATATTGATTATTAAACCAAATGCAAATTCTAGGTGGGAGATGGGGAAAGGAAGCACAAAAACCAGATCTGCCCTTTATTTTCAACTGCGCAGCATATTGTTCTTACCTGAAAGTCTTTTTTATCCATACCATGCAACTGAACGTTGAGACTGTCATATCTCAAGGTAGGTACAGTCAGAGATGAACCAGTTTATACACTGATGTTTATATTAATTCTGAATTGGCAAAAGGAACAATAGCTAATGGCATGAAAAGTTTATTTTGCCTTTAACGAAAATTACCAGTCAAAATAGAATATGTATCTACTATAATGTAAAGTTCCCAATATCTGAATTTTTCACAGTTCTAGTTATACTTTGTTCTTTTAATTGTATTGACTAGAATACCTTCTAAATTTGACATATATTTCCTAATTGCCTTGAACATACTGAGTTTATTTTGCTCTTCAGCTTTAGTAAATTACAATTAAAAATAAAAATTGTACATGTGTAAGGTATACAGTGTGATGTTTTAATACTTGTGTACCTGGGAGGATTCTGGCTTAATAATATAAAGATCAGTTATTGTATCATTGAGGCAATGGGAGAATTTAGGTCTGCAATCACTGCCGCCTCCATGCTAGTACGTGTTAGTTTGATTGTTTTATTGCATTTTGGCTTTTTCTGGCTGACAATTGGCACATATTACTTCAGAATTTCTTTTTCCTCTTCAAATTTTGTAGTTATGTCACATGGTACACATGTAGCAAATTACCAATCTGATACAATATGATTTATGTATTTTTCTATCTTACATCAGCATAGGAGGTACAGTGTGATACAGTAAAGCCATGGATTTGGTCAAATCCATCTTATTTGAGTTCGACATGAGTTAGCTATAAAGTGCTGAATTAGACTGTGACTCTGTTTTGTCATCTGCAAAGGAAAATATAATGCTTAACTCCAGGACAGCTGTGTTGCACCACTGTGGTCATATTGTATGCTGAGGCCGTTTCATGTGGATTGGGAGAAGTAAACCTATATGCACTGTGCATATGTAAAATACAAATAATCCACAATACACACACTCCCACACCATGTAGTCCAGTGGCTGGCACATAGTAAGTGCCCAGGGAATATTGGTTACTATTAATCAATTAGCTATAATTATAAAGATTGTATTTATTCAAAATTCACTTTAATTATAAAAGTTTAGGCACCTTTATCCTTGGTAAGCAATACATGCTTCTGAGATTATTTTGAATAGAACAGGATATAGTTTAATTTACATGGCTTCAAAATTTGTGTAGGAAGTTTATAAAAACACAACTAAAGAAGAATAAAACAATTTAAAATCACCTTAAGACAATACTAAATAAAAAACTACTAAATAAAATACTACTAAATAAAAAACTTTTCCCCAATCTTGGGTCTCTCCTGTTGTAAAGAATATCCAAATATATTTATTTTCATTAATAGAATCTCTTTTGTGACCATACAGTGATTCCACTAGACATATATTCCAGCAACTTTATGACCCTGACTCTAACTCTAAATCCTTACCCTTAACCCTAACCACACTCTAATCCTTATTCTATCCTTGATCCTCACCGTACTTCTGATGTTCATCCTAATCCCTAGACCTACCACTCACACTCATACTAAAACTAAACCCGAAACATATCTGCAAATCATAACACTATAATTTATTCATAATCCCAAAAACTTAACACCAAACTCATCACCAACACTGACTTAACTCACACATGAACCCCAAGTGCAACCTTAACCCTAACCCCTATCTTAACCCAAAAGCCTAACCTAAAATAACCCTAATATTCTAACCTAACCCTAACCACGAACAACAAAGGTAACCTAAACCTGAATCCTGAACACTATGATGCTCTTAAAGCCTAACACTAACCCTAACCTTAATCCTCATTCTAACTCTTGAACTAACTCTAAACCCAACACTCACTCTTACCCTATCCCAAAACTCACCTGAATCCTTAAAATAACCCTGCCACTTACATCCTCAGCATCTGTCCCTAAAAACCTAACATTACATTTTCTCACACTCCAATAAAATTTTCTACACAACGTGCTTAGTGATGAAAATAATATGTGACATGACCACTAACCAAAACACTAGCACTAAAATTAGCAGGGAACAAAACCTAATACATCTAGCCCCAAGACTCACACATGATAAAGGACCCTAACTCTGAACTTAACATAAAAAATGTCAACCTAACCAGGTGCTAGTTTCCTAAACCAACCTGATGTGATAACCATTCAATCCTAATTCAAGGACATGCCCTGATGCTCACTCTAAAGCTAACCAGAGCCCTAGAATTCACACTGGCCCTCAGCTGAAACCTTCACCCAAAACGAATTTTAATCTATGGGCTGAGCCCCACAGCCGCTTCTTTAATACGAAGAAGGAGGGCCTGGTACTTCATGAGCTGTCTCTACCCAGGAGAAGATGGGGTCTACACAAAGACAATAGTGCAAGATACGTTGGGTTTGGGTGTTTCCCGTTTTGCAACTAGCAGGTTGGGAAGGGTCATCCATCAGTTGCAGGGGACATGGGAGAAGCAGGTAGGGGAGGGGAACACGAGGAAGTGACCTCACTTCCTTGACAACGCGCCTAACAGAACCTAGAACTCTCGAGGCTGGTTCATTACAGTTACTGGTAGAGAGAGAACAGTCAGGACGATGTTTTCTTGCTGTTTCCCAAAACGCCTAGGCTCAGGCCACAAGAGTTGGTGGAAAGAGGGTCTTATTCGAAGGCTGAGAGGCTCAGGCAGTCGTCAGCCCCAGAGCCTGGAGCACACCGACCCCAGAACTCCCAAGATGATACAGGAGAGCACCCAACAGGTCAGAGTTAGCCGGGAGAGCCCAGAACCCTGCTTGCCCCTGTGGTGTGTGGGGCAGTGTGCGTGAGTGGGTGTGAAACCAGGGGACGCGTTTGGCAGCTGATCCACTTGGGGGCTGAGCTCTTTAGAGCGGCTAGTGTTTCCAAAGCCATTCTCGCTGCCACCTCAGGCCTCAAAGAAGTCCAGCCCAAAGCTGGAGGATGCTGGCAAGGTGAGGAGCCTGGAGCCAGACATGCTGAAGAAGCTGGTGGACAACCTGGTGCCCGCCCATCTGCACGGGTACCCATTCTTTGTGCCTGCCTTCCTGGCCATCTACAGGAGGTTCGCCACCCCGCGGCAGGTGCTGGATCTGCTGTTCCTCAGGTGTGCCCCACCTCCAAGTCAGGGGACCCTGGACCCTTGGGAGGCTCTTGGGGATGAACCCCCTGAACCGTTCTGTACCCTAATAATCACTGGGGAAAATAGTTTGTTCAGAGGACTTCCATTCACGTGTTGTATTCAGGACCAAATAGGCTGATGCCCCAGAATGCATGACCAAGGTCTGGCTCTGGTTAGGGGGTGGAGCCCAGGGCTGTGGGGCTTCCCCAATCTGCCCCTTGAAGGAACTGTCTAGCTGGAGCCTCATTTTTCTAGGTTTCTGCCTAGAGGAATCCAGATCAGAGACCCCTAGGGGAGTCATGGCAGTACTGTCTTGAGATGGGGGCACAGCTGGCTGGGCTCACCCACAGCACAGATGTCTACAAGCACCTACTGTGTGCAGAACCTTTCCTGAGGCTTCCCTGTCATTCAGGGAGCAATGCCTACCAAACTCTCAACTTTCCCAGCCTCTTTTGCCATCCCACAATCACATGGTCCCCTAGACGTCTTGGGAGGGAAGGACAATGAGTCCTCAAAGGTCACGTTCTCCTGGTTCTTCCAGGTACCCCTCCTTCCTTCCGAACTCTGAAGAGGACCAGCAGAACAAGAGGTAAAAGGCCATTGGGCTAAGAGGGAGGGAAGAATCCTCTCTCCAAAGTGGGATGCATCGGAGGAACTGGGCTGTGGGAAAAACCAGGGTCACTCACTGTCCATTGATTTCCACTAGAGGGCCTGGATCAGAGGCTGGGCCTTGAGGAGGAGGGAGACAGCTGTGCTTGGGCTCTTGTGCATGAGGGCCTCAGGGGTGGGCAAGGAGCAGGTTCCAGTGAGGATGCACCTGTACACAGTCTGTTCCTAGCAAGGAGAACCCATGCCATCCCTGAGCAGCGAAGGTCATGCTGGTGCCATGCTGGGTGGAGGCTGCCCAGGAGGTGCGGGACACAGATCACTCACACCTGGTCCCTACACCTCTGCCCTCTGTGCCCAGCTGCTGGCTGGCAGGGTGTGCTCTGCTGAGCAGGGCTCCCCTCAGGCTGCATGACAGAGAGCCTAGGGCAGTGGGAGAAGTCAGGCCTTTGACTCTCCTGCCCCCCTGCTCCTAGGGCTCTGAGCTCCATCCTGGAGACTTGGCTGCTCCACTACCCAGGAGACTTTTGCCAGTGCCCAGACACGGCCAACCTCAAGCAGCTCGTGGCCTATGCACTCCTGAATCTTACAGACTCGGACATCATCCGGCATTTGTGCACACTCTCGGCTCAATTCAGAGTCCGCTAAGAGAGATCTCATCTCAGATGTGAGTAGGAGGCTGGGGTTAGTGACTGTGGGTGGTGGGAATGCAGGAAAGGTCATGCTGGTACCACTAGGAGGGGTTTCCAGAGGCTGCTGCTGGCCAGGAGCAAAGCAAGAGAATGGGACCACCAATGGAGCTGGACAAGATATGGGACGGCGTCTTGCTGTCTGGGTCAGTGCCTGGGGCTTCTCTGGCAGGAAGTGGCCTATATGCCTTGGGAAAGGCACAAAGAAGAGCGATTCAGGAATTTTCTGTCCTGTCCCTCTCCTGCCACTGCTAGAGCCACAACTGTTTCCACAGCAGCGCCCACTGGAAGGGACCAGGATTGGAGCTAAGGGGGGATGGGGTGAACAGAGCTGGACAGGCAGAAACTGGCCAGCCTGACCTGAATCTCCCTCTCTCTCCTCTCTTATGGCTGATCATCGGTCTGCAGGACAATTCAGACCACCTCACCTTGCAGGACTCCAATTGCACATCTCCTTGCCTCACCTGGAAATGTTGCCTTTTGGATTTTTTCTGGTTTCATGTATCTGTAGTTATTTTCTGTAAACATTAATAAAATTTTATTGTAACATAAAATAGAACTGTCCCTCTATTTTAAATGCACATCTAGTAGAGCTAAGTCCTCACACTGTGCTGTGCTCCCAGAGGCTCTCTGCAGCAGCAGTCCCTGGCAGCTGAGCCCCGAGGTGAGGACTCACAGCACCTGCTGGAGGAAGGGACTGAGGAACTCCCGGGATTATGAGGACTCTTGAGTGCTGAAAGGGGCAAGAAGACAGGCAGGGCCCTGCCCACATGGCACAGGACTTGCTCTGCACTGGGCAAGCAGCACCCTGCCTCCCTGCAGAGCCCTCTCTCTTGAGTGTCATCTTCCTGGCCTGTGGGGGGGACAGCAGTGCCCTCCCTTGCTCCGATGATGACACAGCAAAGGCCCTGGCATGTGGCGCTCCCAGAGGCCCCGAGGCCCAGTTGGGCCCACTCCAAGTGTGCAGTGCACACAGACAGACTGGAGGGGTTTAAGAAAGACCATGTTCAGGAGGGATTTGGTTCTACAGAAGAGGTGCAGAGCCTCGGCTGTGCTCTGAGATGACCACAGAGCCCATCCACCTGCAGAAGCTGGCTTGTACCGGCAGAGGGGGTCTGAGGGAACTTCATTGAGAAGTCTGCAGGGAGGGCCCAGGAGAAATACCACAGAAGTGACCACTTACTCAACACCCTGCCACTACCATGCCAGGGCTCAAAACTAAAACTTTGCCCAGTTACCTGAGGACCTGGGCAACATCCCACCTCACTAAGACAGCAGGGACCTAGGGTGGTGCCGCACCAGGTCACAGGACAGGTGTGACCACACTATTCCCTGGGTGCATTGAGCCACTGCCCTCGCTGTGCAGCAGCACCCTGTGTTTCCTGAGCCCGGCCAGGGGACCTCTGAGTCACAGGCACAGAAGCGGTGCAGGAAAAGAGACACTGTTTCCAAGGATAATCCAGAAGAAATACTGGACTTCATCAGCTCCTAGTACACCTAAAACTCCTGACCCCTAGCAGGGCAGTGCCTACGTGGCACCTCTTCATGGGGCGTTACGGGAGCAGCTGCCTGTTGACTGCTGATGCTGAGGTGGCTTTTGTTAAAAGCTCTGTCCTTTCCCTGTGCCTACTGGACCTTGATGGGTAACTGAAATGGATGGAATTCCTAGTCTTTCTTTTGATTGTGTTTTGCTTGCTCTCCACCCTCGGGTCAGTGCATGCTCATCTGCATCACTTACATGTTTAGTCCATCATGGAAAGTCAGGAGACCTAACTGCACTCTTTCCTGCTCTCTGTGCTGTGGTTGCATCCTCTGCCCACTCACCTCCATTTGAATCCAGCTCAGGGCCAGCTGCCACTACCTCTGAGGGAGGCTGACTTTCTGCAAGATGCATTTGCAGGCAGGAAGCCAGAAGCTGTGTGGGAGAGGGGATCCAGCACCTCTAGGCACAGCCTCTTCTGTAAGCAAGGGCTCATCCTGAGCTCAGTGTGGGGCCTGAGATGTGCCTTCTTGTCTTTGTTACTGTAGCCTCTTCTCAGCTGCATGTCTTGCTTTGTACTGTTTTGCTGTTGTTGTTTTGGGGTGTTGGTTGTTGGTTTGTTTAGAATTCATTTTGTTTAACTCTACTCAAAAATAGAATTAAATGTCAAAATTCACTGTACAGTTGTTTTCATGAATTAGTCTCCAATTATACCAGGTAATTCTTCATCTCTTTCTCTTTTTTCCTAAGTAGGTATATTTCTTCTTTCAGTTTCAGATTTCACTGCAGTGCTTTGCAATAACTTTCTTAGTTTCTTGCTTTACTTTTTTGGCTGAGCTCTATTGGAGCTACAGTTGATTTTCATGTTACTCCCTAAGCTAGGAAAGCATAGCATTTGAATCCAGCAGCAAAGCGTGCTGCTCACATGAGCAATGCATTGGCGTGGGGCCTTTTTGGGGTCAGACTTCTGAGTTTGAGGACCAATTTGCTTCCATTGTGATAGCACCTGAGCAAATCCTGTCACCTCTGGGTCCTTTTCTTCATTAGTATGGTATTTAACATCTTTGAGTGGTGTGGATAACCAAATGAGAAAACGGATGTGGAAATGCTCTTTCATAAAATAAATGTGAGGGTTTCTTAAAATTACCGATGTTATTAGTCTTCCTACACTTCTCATTCTAGTCAAATTCATGCTTCCTGACACAGCTTCCTGTTTTGTGATTTATTCCTTTAAGAAGGAAGTATTTCAGTAAACAGTGAGCTCATCATCTGGAGACAAATGATGGCTTTGAGGTATTTCAAGTTCTTTGGTTGGAAATGGTGGAAATGAACAAGTGTGGCCAACAAGAGACAAGAGTGCTCAGTGGTACCTGCAGTCCCTGTGGCCCAGGAGGTCATCAGCCCCCAGCTTGGGGGATGGGCAAGCATAGGGCTCATCATCCTGCTCTCCAGGGAGACCTAATCAGAGGGGCTCTGTAATGAACTGAGGAGGAACTGAGGCAATGCACTAGCATAGGCAGCTCTGGGATTCTCTTCATCATATACAAGTGACTCTAAAACCTATGCACAGCCAACACTGAGTGATGGTCCAAAGCTTTCATATTCTATTGGGAGACAATATACAAAAGTGTTAGGAGGAATTATTTTCCCCTTTAACTGAAAGTTATAGTTTTAATATAAGATCACAGTATAAAGTGTGACATTTCAACTTTTTGAGATTGGATTTTGAAATATGAAATTAAACTCTTCTGCAATTTAAGTCTCTATAATTTATATTTATATATAATCTTTCAGTTTTCCCCATTTTCATCCTGGAGAAAAAGAGAAATTACTGTCTTTTTACTTATGGCCTGAAGTCTAGAGAGACACTCATTCTAGGTTAATGGCAAACTGACCCTGCTCTGGCCTGTCCCCAGCAGCTCCCACTCCTCTGATGGATGTGAACTCTCACACCCAGAGGCAGAGCTGTAAGTCTCATGTGTTAAATTGAGTGCTTCTGTTCTCCAAGATGAACTGAAAATCACTTTAAAAAATATGTCTTTGTGGTATTTTTAAGAGCAGTATTTGTTTTTAAATACCATCCATTCACAGTCTAAAGCAGCTCCTTAATTTTATTATTGCTCATGGCAAATGACTTGAGTGAAGTGTACACTTTTGAGTAAGTGTACTCAAGGACACTAGAAAACTGAAATTGTTCTATGTACTTTTAAATGAAGTTTCCAATAATCCCTACGAGAATAATTATTGGGTGGGTTAGTAGATGTCCAACTCTAGTCATCATCAATTGAATTAACCTTATAGAGAAGGTAGAGTCAGAATGTCAGAATCACCAGTTATTGGGTGAACTCCACTTGGAAAAATCTCAGGATGAGAATTTATTTCTCCAGACATCTCAAGTCACTAATCAAACATGTCAAGTAGGGCCAGAAATTTAGCTTATCAGCAAAGTACCTGCCTGGTAAGTGCAAGGTCCTGAGTTTAATTCCTGGTAAAAAAAACAAAAAACAAAAAACACCTTAGTTTACATTGAGGCCAGTGACAGTCTATGGGGGAACCTAATTTCCCACAGGTAACTTGAAAGACTTCCTTAACTTTGCCTGTGGCTGAGACACAATACGTCCAACATAAGGGGGTGGGGATTCAATTTGGTCATGTTTAAGGAGATTCAGTCCGGGGTCAGTTGGTTCCAGAGAGGAGCATCATGGCCACAGGCAAAATGGAGCAAAAAATTTGTTAGTTCATGGTAGTGAACCACTAAAACAAGAAAACAGTGCCAGAGAGAGCAGGGAACATGGTGAATAGATAACAGCAGCTACAGTGGCTCTCTGAGATAGCCAGCTTACATTCCAGGAATGGTGTGGTGTGGGTAGTCCTAAGCAGGGGGAGATATACCCTGCTGATCCAGGAACGAACTAAGCTGAGAGAAACCAATTGGAAATGAAATCCCAGTGCTACGACTGGAACAGCTAAAGTCTCAATGATGCCACTGGAAATTTTTCCTCTGGAACCTGTGTTTTGAATTCCCTGCCCCTGCTGCATCTGAATAGGCAGAGCAGGGATAGAGATGCCAGAGCTCTGAGTACGGGAATTGGTGAACTGAATTGAGAGCAGATATGGTGGGGAGCCCTGCATCAACCTGCGGTGAGTGAGAGGACCCTTCCATAGACAAAGAGGCTCCAACATATGACATTCTGGGACCAGGCATACTAGCTGGAACAGGGCACTGCAGTGACTTCAGTCACATATTCCCCTCCCAAGTGGGATTGGTGGGGAGTGCTTGACCTGGGTGATGCATGGACTAAGACCCAGTAGGCTAGCCCAAACCTGGTTCCTGCACCTCGCAGTGCACCCTAATGGAGTGAAGCCTCCAGCAGTTTGACTGACCTGGAGAGGCAGGCCCAGCATAGGCTGCTCTGGTCTGTGTCTCACTAGTACACTGCAGTGGGCGCGAACACCTAGTCAGCATAATTCAAACAAACTGTAACTGACAAAGAAAGAAATTGGGCCTCCTATATACTCCTGTATGGAGGGAACAAAAATTATAAGAAGAGGAGGCAATAAGAAAGGGTCCTTGGTCCCCAATCCTGAGAACACTGATCCAGGAAAGGTAAAAGCAAAGGAGAATGAGGACAGAAAACATGCAATATCAAGCATGGCACCAATAGACATAAAGCAATATCTCTGGGATCTCATAGATGAGTTAAAAAGTGAAATATTTAACCAAGTAAAGCAAGACATAAGTAGAATAGTTAAAGAAATGCTAAGCACCTCCCAAGAAAAAGCAGAAGGTGGGATGGAAGAACAGAAAAAAAAAAGGGGAGAGTTGTATGATGGAGAAAATAGAGAAAACATAGAAGCATGAAGCAGGTTCAAAGAGATTACCAGGAAACTAAAAACTCTATGGAAACCTGGCATAACAGCTTGAAAGAAACTAAGGATAGATTATCTGAACTGGAGGACAGATTTGTAATGTGGGAGCAAGAAAGGAAAAACTTCTTAAAAATAACAAGGAAGCAAGCAGTGACAATACAAAGGCTAGAAGATGATAAGAGGATCTACAACTTAAGGATTAAGAATGT